CCCCCCCCCCCCCTTCTCTCTCAATCTCTCCAGTTCAGGAAGCAACAGTTCCCAAACCCCAAGCGAGTCAGTGATAGGTGGTAACAGCAATGGCGATCGAACGTGGGTTGGGTATAGGGTCAAATAGCTCGGTTAAGATTGGAAACGTTCGAAGTCAGGTTACCCTGCTGTTGATTTTGCCGGGGAGGGGCACCTCGACAAGGCGCCCGCCTGCGGTACTATCAGTGCGGCGAATGACACTTTATCGCACCTTTCTGGCGAGAAGGTCAGCTAGGGTGACCAGAGTGGCAGCCACATGCACGTGATCGTGAACAAGGTTGCTTTCCTCCTCCAGGGTGTGTAACGCCGCCCGGCACAACCGCTCCGCCTCTTCGACTTTGTCCTGTCGTCGATGGTACGTGTATAAGCTTGGAACTCATGTGCACGCATGACCTAAATAGAGGTGGTTCTGGGAACGATGTGATGATTACAAGAGGGGTATACCCACGCGTATCTGCAGGTACGTCACTGCAAGTCCTGCACACACCTGCTCCTCCAATATGTGAGCCAAGCGAACGAAGGACGTGGCCTTTTCGCACGGATCCACGATCCCTGCCGTCCCCAGGTCGTTGTCATAGATAAACAGGGCCCTTGAGCACAGCTCGCCGACGTGAGCACGGAGTAGTAGCCGCTTTTCCTCCTGGTCTCCATCGAATGGACGGCAGAAGTGTTGTTTGTATGAAGCAAATTGTTCATTGACGACACAAGAGAGGGGCAACGAGAAATGGAAGCGATTTAGTCATTTTGTACGTCAGCATTGTCGTGACCAAATATCAATCAAATACGCGAAGGGACCGCAGCTACTAGTACATGTCTCTACCATATACATCGATCGAGGCACAATTGATTCATTCGGTGGAAAACGAGCGTCACCACGTGCATTTGGCACATGAGACATACAAATGTTATTGCTGAGAAATACACTAGGCGATCCCGTCTCACCCCTCGTCGCTACAATGATCAAATCCTACAGCTGTGACTAGGAGTCAATTCATGCCATTGGTCGGACCCATTAAGAACGCGACAACACGTTCGCGATGTTTTAGCCGATGATTGACGATGTTCGCGCAAAGGTGCCTATCGTGTGTACGAAGAGGTTGACCGTATTCAAGACCTGCCGCGGGGGGCATCACATCATCCCATGTGCGCATTTGGTATAGAGCACGCGTCTGGGGGCGCGAAGGGGAATATCCCCCCCCCCCAAACAACATGGGGAGCCATCATAGTTTTTTTTCGCCCCCCTCTTTGACACTCCTATTAAATGAGTCTCTGAGGGATGCACATCTGCGAACCACCTACCACACCGTGCCGGTCACGAGCGCAATTCATCTACCTTCCACGCTCCACAGGGCCAGAGCGTTGCCGGTGGGAATGCGGCATGATTGAGTTGTGTTTTAAACTCTCCGTTTCGTTGCGATATTCTTCATAGCAGGTACAGTCTGGCTACTGTTGACACGGGCAAACACTGTTACTACCAGTTCATGACGACGACACTATCGTAATTGCTTCTGCAAGTGCTGAACGCGAGTCTGAATCCACCTTCTACCATTCTTTTGGAACCTACCTCATCAGGGAGCGTCACGAATTGCTTCATTTCTGCTTCCGCCGCATCGATCAAGGCCTTCGCCACCATCGGATGGTCATCCCCAAGAGAGTCGTCCAGCACCCTCACCGCTTCTCTGTAGCAAGCACCGGCCAGGATAGGCTTGTGCTGGCAACACGCACGCCCACAACAAGGAGTAAGGTGCAAAGTAAAGGTGAGGGAGGGAGCAATCGAGGGGGGAAAGACATCGGGTTTGCCTACCTTGTTCTATAATACAAACGTAGTCTCTGGCTATTGCCCTGGTACGTCTGAACTGAGACAAACGGAAGGGGGAGAGGGGGCTCGTGGAAAACTAAGGCATGGGAAGGGGGAGTTCAGGGTGTGGACTAGGTGAAGAACATCAACAAGCTCAGAAAGCGCGTCTATGCCGTTTTTCGAGGAGCGTATATATCAATACCAAAACATCAATGCTCTTGCTCGCGCGAGAGCGATGTGATACCATCTGCGGTGCGAAAATACCCTCTAACGTGCACTCAGAAAGTGTGTTATTTGTTTCAACCGGTGACACACTTTTTTGGCCAATCGAGCCGCGATTGTGTCTCACGCATTGCTGAATTCGTGTTGTTCCACGCTCAATTGACCGTACGCTGAAATAGCCATCGAACTTGTGCAACTCATCAACTATCGAAAAAAAGCAAATTGGTGATCTCGAACGTATACCTGCTCCAGCTCCACACGGGCAAGGCTGTTAAGAGCGGACGCCACGGCCGGGTGGCGACACCCGTAGTTCAGCTTGACAGACTCCAACCCCTTCTTATACCGATCGACCAGTTCGTCGTCCTTGCCCTGGGGGGAACGGGGGTTGCGAGCGCTTTGTATGTTCACACGCAAAAATTCAAAATTATTGTCAGTTCATCTGCTGCGTGATGAGAAACACGGGTAGAGCCAAACACCGTATGAACTGACTACATTGTCTACCGCTTGACGTCCCCGTCCCCAGGGTGCACTGCGTGGGATAAAGTTCAGTGTTTTTGGCATGCTATGCCGAACTCCTTCATTGTTTGGGTGTGGCAAGGAATCGAATTGTTGGTACTCATTTCACCGTCGATTTTTGAGAAACATTGGCAGCCCTCTTGAGTGGACTCAATGAAGGCCGCTCGTGTCTAACATGTTGCCATCTGATCGGTTTTTGTTGTTGACGTGGTTCACGTCATCTCTCATGTCATTACTGCTTTTTCAAAGACAGATCCAAAAACGTTTTCGTACCCACTCACCTTTTGCACCCTGAGAAGCGCGGATTCGGAGAACAGTTGTTCGGCCTGGGCCGCGTCAGCATGGTAGAGAGCGTGCCCCATGCGTACAGACTTCCTCGCCATTGTTTTGGCATCTTCAAGGAATCCCTAGGTGAAACCAGAGACGAGCGAGAAGATGAGAAGGGTGGACTTTGCGACCTCTCGTAATACAAAATCCAAAACGGCATCAAGTCTACTTCCGAGTCTTCTTCGAAAAGGGCAATGGAAAGAAACGGCCAAAAGCCGGTTTGACCACAACAGAACGCAGATCAGATATCTTATAGCTACAGTGGTGGAAATGGTGCTGGTCTAAACAAGTGTTGAACGCATATTGACACAAGGGTGATTCAGCCGTAGATACGAGTCACAACTTACCTGCAGCTGGAGCAGCTTCGCTGCTGTCCAGTAGCCAAACGCTGCCGGCACGCACGGGAATGTCTCCCGCAGGGAAGCCCCATAAGCATCCCTCACAAACGGCCGCGGTCGCGGTGCCGCGTCATTGCTAGCGGGTGTCTGGTGGCCACAGTAGCAGCCGTTGCCAGAACGGAGATCCTCCAGAGACTGCCACAGGGCTGCGAGAGCCTGCAACCCCCCCAGCATCATTCCGTCGCCGCCGCAACCGCGAGCGGCCCCCGCTTCGCCACCAATGACGCCGTTGCTTCCTCCGCCGGAGCAAGCGAAGCGAGAGAGAGTGCTCGAGCGGCTCAGGTAGCCCACCTGATTGGTCACGGCGGCCTCCCTCGTACTCCTTGCCGTTGTTTGAGCTGCTGCGTTGTGCACTCCACAGTAGCAGCGGCAACCGACCCCGTCAGGCCTGGAGCCGGCGCGGAGGAGCTTGGTCTTGGCGAAGGCGAGGACGCGGTTGTGGATGCTGTAGCAGCGGCTTTCCGGGTGCATCTCGGTGAGGAATGATTTCTCCAAGAGCTCGTTGACGACCCGTGCGATGTCTTGCTCTGAATCCTGTCGTGTCGGGTGTTACGTTACCGTGTATTAAACAGAAGCAGGCGATGGGGAGCGGGAGGAGGAGGAAGGGAAGTTATGCCTTATGCGTTCGCGCATCCGCTTCGAATTCGCCCGAGAGAGAAACGAGAGAGATATAAAGAAAGCGCGCGTGAGAGAGAGACAGACAGAGAGAGAGCGGTGTTTTGACGACGACAAGCAAGAGTACACAGAGAGAAGCATAGCTGGTCTTCAACCGTGGCCTGGTTTCGTCCTCCTCTCCATTCGTACCGCCACCAGAACCATCATATCACAACCATGAACCACCTGTTCCCAAAGGTTGGACAGCATGTCGAGCGGAGCCACCGTTCCCTCCGCCAACACCCCCAGCCTAACGAAGCAGTCCTTCGTCTTGTCCCCCGGGAGCGCGTCAAACCCCAGCTCCATCACTCTGCTGAAAGCATCGTAGCCATCACCACAATCTTGACGCCGGGTGACGTGCTGCTCGATCTGATGGCAGCGTTTAGCGTAGTCGCAGGGCGGCGAGTTGTCCCGACGGCTACCCCTCTCATCCTGGCCGGCTACTACTGCGCCGACGATGGCGAGAGCCAGCGGTGCGATCTCCCCGCAGTGGTTGACGACCTGTTGCACGAAGTTCGCGCCGCGAATGTCACAGAGCAGGCGGGTAAAAGCAAATAACTTTTAAGTTTTTACCTGGCCTTGATTTTGTCATCCGATTGATCAACGTGTATACCCAGTCAACCGAGCCACACACGAACTCCCACATCTAGCAGTCAAGCAAAATCACCTGTAGAGCACACGACTCGATCGACGCCCGGGTCGCCGCGTCGACGCCCGGGTCACCAGCATCACCGGCATTCTGCTCTGCCCAACCTGCGGGTGTCGAATCCTCCACCTCCATTGCCGCCCTACCCGGCCGCCTCACCGTCTTCAGCAGCATCGCCACCGCCTCCTTCAGCGTCACAGACTGCAGCTCACTCACATGGAATCGGCAGTGCTGCAGTGTGGAACGACCATTCCCTAGGTCCCAGCCAGCCTCCGGCTTTGCGCCGGTCACAAGCACCACAAACCCGGCCCTTTGCAGCTCGGCCATGGTGTCGACGTTGTCGGTGAAGCTCTCGCTGATGCCGTCAAGAACGAGGAGTCGGCTTTGCCCCCCCAGCCATGGACTCCCGTTCGAGGAGGCCAGCTTCTTGAGGGTTTCCCCAGGGCTTGCTGACCGGGACAGGAGTGCGGTTGCGGCGGTCTCTTCGTCACTGTTGGCTGGGAGCAGATGGGCCATCGCAACCACCTGCGCAGCCAGAGCGTGAAACACAGCTCTCAGCAGATCTCCTCCTGTCCCCGTCCTTGCTCTTGTCACCACAACCCCGCGCCCAAGGCTGACCCAGAAGATTCCTCGCCAGAACTTTCTCCGGACCTCGGGGTGAGAGGCGATGGCCGACGCCAGAACGGTCTTCCCCGACCCGCTGTCACCGAGGAGGGCGTAGGAAGCACCCTCGCGACCGTCGTCGTTGTTGTTGTTTTCGTTGCCATGCCTGTCGCCGCTGGTGTTCGTGTTGTCCCTGGCGAAGAACGTTGTGCAATGTTTTGCGGGATGTTCCAAGGGTATGCGAAAAATAACTTTCAGGCACATAGCCTTCCGCCGCTCAGGAGGGGGGGCGGAAGTTCGAAATACCATGAAACATCGACAGATTACGAACCATTAGGTGAGCGTTTGCGACCTTTGGGCTTTCATTTCGGTTGTTTCACGCGGCAGTACTGCAGTTCACCTCGCTAACCAACGTAAAGCTTGTATGGAGAAACACACGCAGGCACGATGAAGAGCCTGTTTCTCATTGTCGCTTTCGATCCCGGAAAATCCTTACACGCCGAAAGTTTGCTGAAACAATTTGCTTTTTCGCACCTGGTACTTCTTTTGTCTCCATGCATTGGTAGTTTGGTTACCATGACGACTATACTCAACCTTCAACGCACGTTAGCTCAAGTGAAACCATGAATCCCTGACCACTGGGCCAAACGGGTGACAGGCGTGATAGGGGCTCCCCGAGGAGGTTGGTGCATGGAGGCATGTATGAAGAGCGTTCCTAAGACGAACCTGGGCGGTGCGGGTGCCCTTCACCTCCCGGCGGTCTCTAGGCCCACATGTCTTCACAGAGAGAAGCACGCCTAGGCATGTATCCCATGGGTCTCTGGATACGACCGCCTCTCGAAAGAATCACACACACACACGTCCCCGCAGATCCAGAGGTTCGATTTGGTAGGCCTAATGTGTCCATTTATTGTTCGTGCATGCCCTTACCCGTTGTTGTCGGTTGTGGAATTGTTGTGGAGTTGGTTGTCGCCGCTTTTGGTAGTGCTGCTGTTCCTGACGTGACGGTTGTCGAGATGCTTCTTGCCGATGAGCTCGTTGACGACCTTCTCGAGCAGGGCCGACCGCTCCACGTAGTGCGAAGGGAGGCGGGGCGCCTTCGGGGACACCGCGGCTACCCTCGTTCGTGGAGGGCGTATTTGTTGCTGATGGTGGTGGCGGAATGAATGATAAGGGCCGGGTGGTGAAGACGGGCCGGTGATGTTGGCGGTGGCCGCTTTGGCCGCGGTCGTGGCGGCCTCGGTGGCGGCTGCGTGACTGCGGTCGATGGATGACGCCAATTTCCTAGTACAAGCCGTAGGACGGCTAATAGAAGTAGCAGGCTGGTGGTCGCTGTTGTGCGAAGCCGTACCAACACTGCCAACGGTGCCAACGGTGGGACCCGCGGGACCTGCGGCATTTGCCCCCACCGATGATGCTGCTGCTAGGGCTGCGGCTGCCTCCTCCTCGGACATCTTTGGCGACTGCACTATGACGTAGTCCTCCCGGCTCGAGACGTGGACAAATCCGTCTGAATCCGATCCCCTGTCGCAACATGAGGCCGCTGGTGATCCAGCAGTATCCATTGTCGCACTCGGTGTAGCAGACGTGCTAAGATTAGCACCAGATTGCTGAGCAACACTGCTTTTGTCGGTCGTAACCTCTTGCCGCTGCCGCTTTGGATCCCAGGTTGATTCAATATTTCAGGGGGAGGGGGGAGAGGGGAGAGGGGGAGCTGGTTGAACATTTGCAATAGACGAGTAAATAAATTTGGGGGGCCGCGAACTTCAGCGCAGCTCTTCCCTCCCATATCCTACTCATCGTCATAGTCGTTTTGAATGCCTGTGGGAGGTGCAGGTGCAGCCATAAGCAAAGGTGCTTGAAGTATTCAATAAAATCGGACCGCACAGCAGCTACAAATCCTGCTTGTAGCTCACCGATCTCGATGGCAGAACGATCGGTCGGAAATAGCGGCCTGCTGTTGTAATTCGTAGTGTATCGCAAGGGCTACAATCTCAAATGCAAACATGTATACCAGCGGCCACAGCGGACGGTCACGACGCCATGGTAGATTGATTTGGAGTTAACATTTGGAACACCAAGATTCGCGTTTCCTGGATTCTTGAAGAGGATCTGCGAACTCCAGTGCGGCCTCAGGAGGCGGAATTGACTATCGGCCTCGGGCACGTTCTTATTCTGCCTCTCTCAATCGACAATTTCCTTCAATTGGGTACTCCCTTCACATATGGAGAGTCGTCTGCAGGGCACTGGGTCGATACCATGGTTGTGTACATATTGTTCTCCCGACTATTTTTCTGACACTTTTACGGAAGAGGAATATTGAACATGAAGTCCTGAGGGCACCTCCTGGACTCGATCGTAAAAACAAATATTCATTAATCCATCGAAATACCCGGCCTGGTCCCAACGGGCCCCGCCCCTGAGGGTAAAGTCTGCGGGTGGAGTGATGAGGTGCTAGGGGGAACGATTGGCGGCCTGGTCCCAATGGGCCCCGCCCCTGAGGGTAAACGCTGCGGGTGGAGAGTGATGAGGTACTAGGGGGAACGATTGGCCCCCCGCCCCCCAAATAGGGGGGGCGGCCACGTTGCGTGGTACGGCTGCTGGGCTTTGCAAGTAGATGTAATGGTTGAAAGCAGGGAATAATCGTGTTCGGAATTGTTTCTATTTAAACCACCGAGCATTTGATGCAAAGTACAGCAAGTATGGGTTGCCCAATGAAAGCAAGAAAAACACAAGGGCGTTTCATGTTTGGTTGCTCACGGGAGGAAACAACGCGTTTTGTAAGCCCTTGATATGATACGGCCTTGTTATGTATGTACAGATGGTCCATCGGACCAGCAAGGCAAGCGTATTATGATGTTAGTGTTGATACGGTCATGAAAGACGGAGTATTGTAGCCCTTCATTTAAAACAACACAAAACAAGGCATCATGTAGGTCTTCTATTACCGACCACACAAACTAAAATGACATTGCTGTCATCAACCCTGTCAGGCTAACCTTAAATATACTTATTGTCAAGTTATGGAAACTACAAAAAACAATTGAGACATCGATTGTACACAATAATAAAGAACGTTACGATGTCATCGAAACGCTGTCTCCGCGCGCGTATGATGTCTGTTCTAAGCTTCACACGGGCAGAGTACACTTGGTCTCGTCTCGCACAGTGTTGGGTGCTCCGACGAGCTTTGATAACATCGGAATTAGAAGCCCGATATTAGCGCCATTGGGCAACACGACGTTGACGACGCTTTTCGCTGTTACTTGCCCGAACGTTGGCATCTACGCTGGTCAAAATTCTTGTCAAGTAACGGATTCGTCATTGTTGTATGTGTCGTGTTTGATGGGTTCCACCAACGTGTCATTGTTGCATGCATTGGCTTCGCGATATTTGATCGCGTGGGCGATACATCTAGGTATCGAATTTCTGACCATTAGTCTAGACGCATATGAGTCGGTACCGGAAAAGCACGTTGGTGGGAAGGTACCCACGAAGGCGACGCCATTTGGCAAGAAAGGGGGAGGCAAGAGTTATCAATCCAAAGAGAGCCGAATCCCGAATGGTCTGTAGACTCGACGCTCGCTGTAAATACTGATGACGAGGGTTGTACAGAATCGCCCATTTTTCGTTGACCGATTTCTGCAGGAGGGCGATGCACATACACAGCGTTGAGGGATCACACGACAATGTTGTCAAGGCAAAACTGCATGCAAGAACAGGTGGTTCTCATCGGATTAAATGTGTGTAGTTGGGAAATCCGTTCGCATGTTTATGTCTAGTTAGGCCACAGTCATCTTGTGGACGCGTCGCCATTCGAACTGTTAACCATCCAAACACGTTAAAAGAGTCCAACTTAGTACTACTGTGTCGACCAATGGCTGCGAACGCGTACAAGTACAATGTTTCAGGTGTCATACCTCAGCGTTCGCAAGAACATCGGTTCCACCAGAGGGTATGCAGTAGTTCGTAGGACGCCGCGTGGTGGTGGCGACTGCAGCGTTCCGGCAATGGTCGCGTACGTCGCAGGTAGATGACGAATTGATTGTTGTGAACAGACCGGATGATATTCCGACCGGATGGTATTCCGTGTTTCTTTTTTGCAAGTGATGTTTGAATGCTAGCGGATCGGAAGAGCATGATGATGTTTGATTGTTATGATTGTTGTACGAACATGCATGTCATATCCGCCGTTGCTGTGGACAAGACACACGTGGGATAACACAGCTTGACAGGGTGCTCATGTGTGGAAGGAGTCGCGTTTATTGTAGTGTATAGCGGAAATTGGCCGAGTCAAGTGATGGATTAGTACGGAGAGATTGAGACAGAAGGAGGTACTGGATAGAGAGACCGGGATGGTTTTTAATGTGAAGACAACAACAACAACAATAGCAGTGGCATAAGTCTGTAGAATGTTGTTGATGTTGCAGGATGCATATTGCTGCAGCATGTAGTCTATGTTCTATGTCGGCAGAAGCGCACGTCGTATGTAGAACGCTCGAAGGAAGCCGGATGCCATATGTTTACGACACCGGACCGAAGCCGGGAAGTTGGTGAGAACAGACATCCACATGCGTTCCTTGTCTACAGCAAGCAGCAGTGGTCCACGTCTCTCTGCATGGATTTTGGTGTATGTAGATGACACATGTACGCCGGACAAATAAATGAAGGTCAACGGGTGGAAAGGCCGAAGCTTTGGGATGTACGGTGGTTGTACAGTGTGAAACAGGACCATGACCATTGGTAAAGTAACCAGCAAGGTCGTCACGTGATAGATCGATTTCACATGGGACTGCAATCCAACATTGCTATTAATACGTTCGTATACTGCTGCCTGGAACAGCTGAGTTCTTCCGCGGGTATCACCTCATTGGATGGAAGCGCGATTTCTTCGCAGATTCACGTGTGGCGCGTAGCGTGGGATCGCGTGGCGAAATAAAAAATCGCATCCACGTGGGTCCTCTCTAAAATCAAGTCCAATGTGGTGCAACATCCCGTGAGTTATTACAGTCGACCCCGCTTTAAGGACGCATGGTTTTTCCAGAAAAAAAAGCGTCCTTACAGCGGGGTGACGATAGCTCACCATCCCCAGGGCCAATGGAGGCATGCTATACCTCAAACTACGCGTCTTTTGCTAAGGAAGGGGACGGTACGAAAAGTCAGCATCGCCGAGACGACTGGCAACCGTTTGTTGACGTCGAACATATTTACAATGCTTATAATGAGATGTACAGCAGTCGGGGACGTGTTGAAACCAACAGCAGCACACCAGTTTGTACTTGGCCAACTAATGTAGACTACTGTATAGCCGGCAGCGGAAGGAGGAGGAAAGTCCAAGTAGACACATATTTATCTCATTTTCGTGAAACAAAAAAAAAACGAGCGTATTCCAGCACCGAGGAACATCAGTACGTATCACTGTCGTCCCGGCGGAGACCGAAAGCTACCTGGATGGCGTCATACCTACGAACACCAGTAGTACGCATCACTGTCGTCTCGGCGGAGACCAAAAGCTACCTGGATGGCTTTTCCTTCCACATATATATCGCGAAGAGTTCCCTGAACCTCCCCCGGCTTGGCTCTACGGCTCTGTTGAGTTATGCGTCTCACGGTACTCGCCACCCCTTCCTTCCCTTCGCGTACAGATACATGTAGCGCCCACAGTAGTTGAGAAAAATTCTGTTGAGAAAAAAGGCTCAACTTTGGACGAAAAATAAGAAAAAAGGGCTAAGAACCATAGCTCAATCTCGGCCACAACGTAAGAAACGCCCCAATAAGAAACATGGTGGTGCGATACCCCCATGACATGAGAAATCTGCGGTGCTCCCACCCCCCTCCGAAGCTGAACAAAGAGAGGTGCATTTTTTTTTGCAGGGGGCAGAGTCCCCCCCCCCCCCCC